ATTCCATTGGTTTAACACTATTTAGTGTATGGACTACAGGTCCAAAAACTTCATTTTTTGCAAGTGAATTCAATTCCACTTTGATTGCATCTTTTCACATTAACCAATTATTTCTTTGTCTACGTTCTTCATTAGATGTAGGTTCAAGATCCTCATTTGTTTTTATAATATTGAGCTCTATATATATACAAAATATCGTCAATGTTTATTTGCCGGTTTCATCTTTTCCCATTATAACATAATTTATTGAGATCTCTTTATTTTCATTGATTTCAGGTGCCCGAAATTTTTTTAGAATATTTGTCAATTATGTCAGGGGTCTCTTCTAGAGTTTCTATTTCCTCTTTTTGACCATCTTAAATATTTACTCTCTTTTTTTGAGGATTTTATCTTTGGAACTGATTGGTCTCCACGCTTTTGGTGTGTCTTATCTTACAAGGACGTTAATATAATAGGAGCATTTGCACTTGATATATAAGATTTAGTTATTCTTTTAGGTCAGTAAATATGTTTGGCAACTAATTTACTATATTTTGTGAAAGAATTACTTTTTAAACTTCAAGTTCATATTGATTTATGCGATGATCAAAACTAGATAATGATATTCATTTTAAGAAATTTTCTTTTACAGTTGCTTATTTTTCTCCCCTTAATGTTGAAAAAATTGTTTTATCAATATAACAATTAACAAACTTTGTCATGAATAAATCTCCTATTGATAATTCTAAATATTTAATTACAAATGGATATTTGTATCCAACATATATTCATAACCTCCTTTGAGGACCTATCTTTGTGTGTTGTAGTGGAACAATTGAAACATATATCACACATCCAAAAATTCTTAGATGGGAAATATTTGGTTCTTAACTATAAACCAATTGTATAGGGAGAATTTATAATAACTCATTTGGCTTGATGTATACAAATGCTGTTGCATCCAAAATGACATGCTCCCAAGTAGACATTGGGAGTTTGAATTTCATAAGTAGTGGCCGTGCAATCGGTTGAAAGTGTTTAATAAATAATTCTGCTAGACCATTTTGTGTATAAGTATAAGCAATAGGCTGTTTAATAATTATTCCAACTAATATGCAATAAAAAAGGCTTGAGATGTAAATGCACCAGCATTGTCAAGATAAATAATGTTGATAATATGCCTAAGAAAATGTGTTGGCAAATGAATGGTTATAAATGCCAAATTGCAAGCTGATAATAAGTACACATGTGAACATCTAGTTGATGCATCAATTAAAATCGTAAAATATCTAAATGGTTCATAGGGTGTATGTATGAATCCACATATAACCTTGAATATTATTAAAAAATGTAGGGAATTTAGTCCCAACTTTAGTTGGTAATAGCTTTATAATTTATTTGCCTTCAGAGCAAGTAGCATATAAAATTCATTAAATTGAAATATCTTCTGGTTTTTAATGAATAATTTTATAAATTTTTCAATCATTTTTTGCATAATTATTGATCTTGGATGGTCCAACCAGCCATGCCAAACATTAAAATCATTAGTAACTTCTAGTTTACTGTGAGTTTCAATTATTCTAATATTTGTATAGTTTAATTTTGAGAACAGAGCGAGCAATTTTTTTTTCAACACACACTTTCTACCTAAGATAATAGATGTAATATAGAGGTATTAAGTTTCTTTCATTCGTTGTCTCAATATGATATCTATTTAGATAAATATCTTGAAAACTTAATAAACTTCTTTGAGACTTTATTCCTCAAAGTAGTAAAATATTGACTTTTTTGGAACTTTCAATTAACCTTGCATTATCAGATATTATATTGACATTGGTTCTTTTTGTTGTCAAAAGAGAAAAATATTTTTTGTCTTTAAATATAGTGTTTGTGGTAGTAATCTCTACTAGACATATATTTACATCATAGATCTTAGATCCAATAAGACGAATATCAATATTTTTTTTCAATAAAATAAAATATACACAATAAGAAATTTGCAAGTTAACATGAAATAATATTAAATATATAACTAAAACACATAATAAGAACATATC